TTTCTTGTCTGAAAAAAGGTCCTACGATATTAGATGTTTGACTAATTAAGCAATGATTAGGGCCTCTAGTTGTTTACGTAAAACAGGGAGAAGGCTAATAGTTGTAAGTGTCGGACTATTCATCTGAATTCTTAAAAACTGGAAAAATAAATGAGGATTTTCAACAAGCAGGAAAGCAAGTGGCATCTAGGCATTTATTATACAGTTTAGAGAGAACAGGAGCCAGTTCAGGAGCGCACTTCTTTAGGATTAGAGGGAAAGCAGATTATTGATGATAGCAGAAACCATAGGAGAATTTCATCATCGATACAGGCACTAATCACATACACGCGGAGGTGCTCCTGAGAAGTTATAGGCCTGACCAGAACCAGTAAGGAAGCATTTTTTTTTAAATCTGATATTTGTTAATTTGGGTAAACTTTGAGAAGTGAGCTGGAGCTTCGATAAAGGCCAATAATTCAACACGCTTAAACATTTAATTTTGACATAAATGATTAATATTTGATTTAATACATCGTCTAATATATATTTAATACCTATCATCTACATTATTTATACAGGACCCAAAAGTGCAGGTTCAATACCCAGTTAAGGCAGTCTAAATTATTAACTGATAACTGACATCCATCAAACATGGCACATGGAACTAGAACAGTCTACCCCAGTGAGCGAAATAAAGGGTTCAGTTCGAAATTCCAACCACCTGAAGAAGGCCGGAGCGTACAACGGCTGAAACGTTTTGATAAATATGGCGACAAAGATGAGGACAATTGTCCGAATAATGTAAATAATGTACATAATACTTCATCTCAGAAATATAGACAGACTGCCACATCTATTTTCCATAAATACGTCCCAGATAAGGGTAAGACGTTAGCTATGAGAAGACACCAGTGCCACTAATGTCATACCAATAAGTGGGAAGTATTTCTGTTGCACTATATATATATATATATAGTATATATATATATATATATATATATATAGTGTGTGTGCACAATCGGTAAATTGACGCCATTTTATATTTTTAATTTCCCGCATGCGCGTTAATTGTTTTTGTTATTGTCGGCTGCACAGCATATTAGGATCAGTTGGGCACCATCTATGAGAAAAAATTACCATGACGCAGTTCACTCTGCCAGACATTTGGAAACGACATGCTATACTACTTGGCATTCACACCGGAAGCTCCGATGCGAACATTTTAGAGTGTTTGGCTGTCAATCGGAAGACAGAAGTGCAGAAGGTTCGGAAAGTGTTGGATGATATATCCAGTCAACATTATGGTGTTTGGAGTGGTCAATAATGATGGCGACGTTATGCCTCCATTCATCTTCTTACAAAGATTCAGACTCAACACGGAGTCCTACATCTGCTGGATGACCCAATGTCTGGCAACAAGACCCTGCGCCATGCCACACCAGCAGGCGAACTCAGTCATGGCTGTGAGACAATTTCAGCGACCACGTCACCTTTTACATCTGGCCACTTAACTCTCCAGACTGCAACTCCTTTCATTATTATGTGTGGGGCGCAGTTGAGAGAGAGACCAACAAAACTCTTGTAACACCAAAGATGAACTGAAGACAATGATTATGGCAGCATTCACGAAAGTAAGCAGGAAATTCTGAAGTCGTCATGTAGACGTGGTTGAAGTCAAGATTTGTTGTATATAAATACAATTGTGGCTCAATGTTGTAGTTGAAGTCAATGGCGATTTTATTGAATAAATTTGCTTTTTAGGATTTCAAGATATTTTTGTGTAATGTTTGGTAAATATACAAATATTTTACAATGAGATGATAATATTATTTTCATTTATGCCTCATTTAGACAACAAATCATTAAGCTAAATACTAGCTGGTCAAAAGTTTAAGACCACATTTAAACGAAACTTTAATTGATAAGCACCGTAACAAAATTTGGTCATTTGTATTCAAGTCAAAGTGCAGACAAAATGTCTTGATCTATCCACTACCCTTCTCCTCATCCTTTCTTCTATCACTCCTATCTGATCTCGCTCTAAATTTTCTGTAACTCCTTGCGTCCTAGTGGCTTCCCGCCTTGCTTGGGGTGAAACGCTTAAAAAAAATCTCTCACTGGTATCTCCTGTTAAAAAAATGGCAAAGCCTAAAAAGAGGAAGAATATTTGTTTTATGAAAAACATAACCTAGTTACTACAGATGGTTTCCAACGTGACTGGCACAATGAGAATATCCTAACAGATTTTTTTTTTATAATAGAGGAGGTTCCATCATGATCATGGGTACTATCTCCTTCTATGGAGCAATGCGGCTGTTTCCATTGGCATGTTTGGGAAGGCCTCCATATTAATTGAAGGTCCTCACTTGTGTCGTAATGACTGGCTCTTTTAGCAGGACAACGGTGCAAGCCAAAATGCCTGAAGGATATTTTCATGGCGAATAACATGATTCGTTTGGATCATTCAGCGTTTCGCCCGACCTGAACCTCAATGAGAATGTTTGTGAGTAGATGGCAAGTGAAGTCTATAGAAGTTGACGTCAATTCCAAACAGTGCAAAATCTTCATGAAGCCATTGTCAGCAACTGGAATAAAATTCCAGTCAGCCTACTGCAGGCACTTATATCGGCCATGTCAAATATATTATTAGTTATTATTAAGTGGGCAGTTGTTTCTATTCCGATATTTACAATTATTGTTGCTATTTTGTGGGTTTGTGTTACTGTAATTGCTATTATTTTATATGTTTATTATTTTCTCCGTATTATTCATGCAACTATAAATGATTTTAATTGCATTTTTAATAATGCTTTTGATTGTTTACTATTTTTAGGAAATTGTTATTCAATTTATTTAAAAAATATTTTCCAAATTTGTTTTTATCATATTATTATAAGGTGCATTAAACCAAATTATATTTCTTTTTTTAATTTTGTAAATATTATTGCTAGTTATTTATTCTAATTTATTCGAATAACCACTTTTTTAATGCTGAGTCATATATTTTTATTTTGATTAAATATTTTTATATTTCTAAAATTAGTTGCAATTCTTTTTTAATAGATATTGGCATATGCTTAAATACATTAGGTGTGTGATTTGAATATATATATATATATATATATATATATATATATATATATATATATACACACACACACACACACACACACACACACACACATATATATATGTATATATGGGATTATTATTTGCTTTAATATATGGTTTGTATATATTATGATTATTAATTAAATGTCGTCTAAAAATTTAGTATTTTTAGATTAGATTTTATGCAAACTGTGAATCCTAATTTGTTAAATATTTGTCATTTGTTTTCTTATATTTTCTTTTTTTCTACCATGACAAATCTTTACAATTATTAAACCATCGTATCGATATAAACCTTTATCATTTTTATTAATGACATTTGATAAATTATGTATGACATATATTCCTATAAGGTCCCATAATAGCGCCATCATAACGTCTCAATTCTCATTATTATTATTATTATTATTATTATTATTATTATTTTTAGACATGTTTTATTGTTGCAGTATAATAATGATTTTCTACTATTGTTAATTATGTCTAATTCTTCGTCTTGAATGTTTATCTGTCGTATTATTAAATTTAATTCTTTGTATAATATATACTTAAAAATGGATGGATAAAAGCCTTTTATATCTATTTATATATTTATATATATTTATATATATTTATATATATATTATATATATTTATATATCTATTTATATAATTTATATTTATATCTATTTATTTAAAGAATAAATTGTTTTTCCTTGTAATATTGTTGAAACTATGAATAGTCTTTTTTGTATTTTTCCATTCATTTATATTTAATATTTCTATTAATTTTGAACATATTTTTTCTATTGTTTGTTTACGTATTTTCCTATATAAAATTTTGACGGTATTAATAATCTACAGGTAGGTTCGTTTAGAAAATTATCCTCATGATCTTTTAATTTAATAAATGGTTCTACTTTCAATAATTATTTAATTCTGTAACTTAATTTTCATTTTGTTGCTATGGCTTTTGCATCTTTATATTATATTCTGATTCATTGTTGATAGTTTTGTAAAACTTAGGCACCTCTTTTTTGATAATTTAAAAAAAACGCAAATATGAAGATTAAAAAAACGGATATTCATTAAATTTGAAATATTTAATATTCGGACTAACCCCTTGAAAAGTGGATACAGTACCACGACACCACGAAGTCGGGGGCAACGAGGATTGATATGGACAGCTAAGTAATTGTTCTGTACATTATTTACATTATTCGGACTATTGTCCTCATCTTTGTCGCCATATTTATTACAAAGTTTCGGCCGTTGTACGCTCCGGCCTTGTTCAAGGACACATGGCACAGTGGATAAAGGCGTTAGTTAGATCTAGTGACAGGACCCAAAGAGTGTGAGTTCAATACCCGGCTAAGGCATGGGAGAACAGTCAGAGGGAAATTAACAGGTGATAACTGATAACTGACATCCATTAAACATGGCACGTGGAGCTAGAACAGTCTACCCCAGTGAGCGAAATAAAGGGTTCAGTTCGACATTCCAACCATCTGAAGAAGGCCGGAGCGTACAACGGCCGAAACGTTGTAATAAATATGGCGACAAAGATGAGGACAATAGTCGTAAATAATGAAAACGCGAAGAATTTAGTAACTAGAAAAGACAATAAAAGAACAGGCTTCAGGAAGAAAGAAAAAATTGGAATTGTTGAATTATTGATTTTTTTACGGCTTATCAACCCTTCGCAGGCTATTTAAAGCCAGAAAACAATTCTAGGTTGTCATAATTCTTTTTGGAGATAATAATGGTTTAGTGATACAAATCTTACTAATTAACCCGGAACTAGGTGGAGAGTAGGTGGATTTATAACTTTCCCAAGTAAATATAACGGACCCAATTGGAATTGGAACTCGGCTCTCCAATTAATGATTCCGAGCCATTGTTCATTACTACACCCTCACAACCAATCTTACTACACCTAGTATTCCTACGTGGTCACCCATCTAGGTACTGACTGGGATCGACGTTGCTTAACTTCGGTGATCGTACGGGAACCGGTGTTACAGTGTGATGTGGCTGTCAAAAGAATAGAAAGCTATGTGATTGGGGTTGCATTTAAGTTTTTGTAGATTGTATGTGAATAAAGAAAACTGGGAGAGACTTCCACAGGCGAGAAGTGAGAGAATAAAAACTATTAGGATATAATTTACGGTTACGTTTAGGTAGTTCAACAGTAAAATGATGAGACTTAGTTGCCATTCTAATAGTATGCTTAAATTCGTGCAATCGAAGCATCAAATCGTCCTGGGCATGACGATAAACTACATCCGCGTCCTGTGTATGACGATAAACTACGTCCAACAGCAAGGACTCTGATCAGGAGGTTTTGAGTAGCGTGGAACCACATCTTAATTGCAGGTGTTCCCAGGTCCACACTGACCCGGATGAAGCACCTGTTAAGGTCCCAGCTATGGGCTAATAGGTAACCCCCAAACTGGGGTCAAAACGTGTAAAAATATGTTTTAAGACCATCAAAATATTTTTGTAAAAAATTATTACCAGCAGTAAATTTTTGGAGAAAAAAATTATTACTAGCAATACATTACTACCAGTAGTATATTTTTTGAAAAAAAAAAAGATACCAGCGATACATTAAAAAAAATACCAGCAATACATTTTTGAAAAAAAATACCAGCGATACATTTAAAAAAATACCAGAAATACATTTTTGAAAAAAAATACCAGCGATACATTTTAAAAAATACTAGCAATACATTTAAAAAAAAAAAACAGCGATACATTTAAAAATAATTACCAGCAATACATTTTTGAAAAAAAATATGCCAGCGATACATTTAAGAATAATTACCAGCAATACATTTTTGAAAAAAAAAAATACCAGCGATACATTTAAAAAAATTACCAGCAATACATTTTTGAAAAAAAAAAATATTACCAGCAATATATTTTTTGAAAAAAAAAATATTACCAGCAATATATTTTTGGAAAAAATATTACCAGAAATACTTTGGAAAAATATTACCAGAAATACTTTTTGAAAAAAAAATATTACCTGCTATAAAAATCTTATCGGCATTAAATGACCCATTGAGGTTGATATACCGTAAAAAACAACAAACCGAAGCACCAAAGAGGAAATCTCATCAAAACAGTCGAAAATATTTATAGAAAAGAGGGAAGCCACATCACAGCGATGGGAAATTGACTGAAGCCAAGATGCCCGGTCAGGATCGATTATATTATTTATTTGTTTGAAATTTCGTCTTCTCTTCAGAAAATTGTATTTTCTTCTTTTCTCTTTTCTTTTCTAGCTTCTTCTTTCTTTTTATCACTGAATATTACGGAGCCCCAACCAATTTTACTTTCTCCTTACCCTCTTAAAATCATTTTTCCTATAAACAGCCACCCTATGCATTGCACTTTTCTCGAGTCACAAACACTAATACAGTTTGTTCCCGCTCTACGTGGCCATGACCGGAGTTGACGAAGCCGGGTCCTCAGACGAGGCCGGTCCCCATAAGATGGCCGATTGACTATAGCGCCACTAACCAGCTATAACTTTGTGGAATCTGGGCCGATAGATAAGGACAACCCACTGATGGTAGATAAACAGGAAATACTTGAATAGACCCAGACAGGATGTGACAATATTAATAGCATTCTTTCTCTTTCGTTTATCTCTCATAACCCTTGCATTAATACAATTTATAGACATATATGTAAGTGAAAGAAGGAAGTGGAGATGTTTTTAAAATCGGAAAATATCAGATTTTTTTTTTTTGGCTTCCATAGTTAAGCAATGTTCTCCTTGGTAAGTGCACTGCAGATAGTCGTCTTTGGTTCCCCTCTTGCGTGTGCAGAGAGGTCAAAATCTAGATTATTTTTTTTCACAGGTTTACTAAGTAGATAACGATATGTATCTTGTAAAATCTTTGTAATCCTGAACACGGTCTTTATTTCTCGAACAGCTGTTTAAATATTTTGTCAGAATCCAAATCTTAAAGACTTCGTAAAATTTATTTTCTCCTAAGAATCGAGTCTATTCATGTCAAAGGGATCATGGCTCTCCACAACTTTCTCTTTTGTGCCCCTTAAGCGATAATCAGACTTTAGCTACAAGTCTTTGCATATCATTTGTATATATGTCACTGACGACGTTGGGAAAGGGGAAGCCAGGTTTTTTCTCAGAATTTGTTTCGGATTAATGTGTTTACATTGCTCATGACCTTAAATTTTGTTATATATATATATATATATTATTTTAAAATATTATATTTCTCTTCATTTATTTATTGCGTGCTCTCTTTGGTTCTAAAATATAGTCTTTGAAATAAAGTTCATTAGATTTTCGGCTAGAATTAATAATTGCTTCATTTCTGTCAGAAGTTCTGGGATGATGATTTACTATTACTTACATACAGATTATTGTCCCCGTCTTTGTTATTGTTAGCAGAAAATTTCGGAGCTAGATATGGATTATGTATTGGATAATCTTAGTTGTAAGGATATCTTAGGGTGAGAGATGAACGGAGGTTCAGCTTAGTGATAATCTAAGTTGTACTAGAAGGGATAAGGGTGAAAATGAGAAGATACAGGCAATGGGTGAGAGAAGAACGGAGGCTCAACTTAATGATAATCTTTGTTGCATTGGAAGGGATAAGGGTGAAAATGAAAAGATACAGGCATTGGGTGAGTGAAGAGCGCAGATATGATTTAATTACTAATCTTATTTATAAATACCCGTGGAATTTCCACGACGCCATGTTGCTATTATTATAGTAGTTTTCGGAATTTCTGCTTGTTCTGTTTTTTATTTCTTTTTTTTCTTATTATTAATTAACGTTAGCAACGGGGATTCTGCTTTCTTCCTTATTTTTATTTGCATAGAAATATCAAGAATTATCTAAAGAGGACGTATGTTTCCAACTTCGCCTCTTTTGTGCGCAGAATTCAGCTGATGATGGAGCGATTTTTATCACACGAATCAAGGGGTCTGGAAATGAAAAACAGATTTTCTCTATCTAAATCGTCATGGATATTCAAAGCCCCTTACAATTCCTGCTTCCCTCAGGCTTTTTCTCTCTCTCTCTCTCTCTCTCTCTCTGATTCGAAATAGCATATTAGAACAGCAAAACACAAATGCTGTGTTTGTTTAGGATGGCACCCTCAAGCTCGGAAAAGTCGTTTGCCACCATCTTTTTCTCTCTCATTGTCTTTTCTTTTTTTTTTTTTTTTTTTTTCTTTCTCTTCGTCTTCTGTTGACGAAAATTTAAATTCTTCCCAAGATGGCGATTGATATCTTTTTCATAAGGCAGGCGTGCCATTTGTTGGACTCTAGAAAATATTTATTAGGAAAGACTTTACCTCCTTTACATTTAAATTACTCAATACTTACTTCTTGGTCCGTGGTTGTGCTGGTGGGGTAATATATACCGACTTGGAAGGAAACATCGGAAAAATGATTTTGGTTCGTTGACTTTGTTTAGCTGCATGTCAATACCTCTATAGTTTGTTTATTTGTTTAGCGGCATATCAACCTCTATGGGTTATTTAATGCCGGAATATATATATATATATATATATATATATATATATATATATATATATATGTGTGTGTGTGTGTGTGTGTGTGTGTGTGTGAATGATGATGGCCATGTTGGCCGAAACTAGTCGAAGAATCTAAATTAAATAATAATAAAAACGAAGGAATATTAATATACAACCCAGTGTGTCTAAAGATTTTAATTTTTTAATATTTTTATTGTTCAATACATATCTATCTATCTATCTATCTCTCTCTCTCTCTCTCTCTCTCTCTCTCTATATATATATATATATATATATATATATATATATATATATATATATGTGTGTGTGTGTGTGCGTAAAAATATATAGAAAATAGGAAAGAACTCGTTAGGTAAATAATCCAAAGTTCTTTAGTATTTTGTTATTATTTTTTATAATAGTGCTCGATACAAAAGTAGAGCATAAATATATTATTTATTTAAATATTTTTAAATAAATAATTATATATATATATATATATATGTTTATGTATTTTTTTCCAGAGTCCAAGAAATGGCACGCCTCCCTCCTGCTATGGGGTAAATAGCAGGACATCCTGGGTTCTATAGCCATGGATGGCAACTGGTCTAGGAGAAGGACAACTCTGAATTCAAAACCTGTGGAGGGTAGTTTGGGGAACTTGTGGCACGTAGTGCATCAGGTCTCTGTATTTGGCCCTTCGGAAAGTGTGGATGGTCCTGCACAAAGCCATCACCACTATAATCAAATGAGCTGGTGTTTTGCTGCTTGATCCTCATACGTTGAATACGACAGGAGAGTTATATATATATATATATATATATATATATATATATATATATATATATATATATATATATATATATATATATATATCAGAGCAGGATCAAGGCATCAGAAGAAGTTGATTGATATTACATTTGAATATTTGAAGATTACAGCTATCAGGGAAGCAATTAAGAGGAAGGAAGTTCCACGGGCGGGAAGTGCGAGATAAGAAGCCGTTGGAGTAGAAGAGACGGCTACATTTAACCGTATTGATAGTGACAGGGTGAAACCGAGCTGCCAGCCTGGTAAAAAGCCTAAATTCATGCAGTTGGGTTACCAGTGAAAGTAGCTTGTCAGAGCAGTTGCCATGAAAATATTTGTAGAAAAGACAGAAGGAAGCCGCTGCACGTCTGTGAGAAAGTGACTGTAGACGCGATGCCAGGACAGGACATATTACATTGCGTATACATCTCTGGATTTTGTCGAGGACCTCGAGATGAACTGCAGTGGCATTAGACCATTTATGGCAACAGTATTCAATGCAAGGACAAATGGTAGACTTGTAGATTTGAAGGATAGACTCAGGCGAGGAAAACCTTCTCGTTCGATACAAAGAACGAACTTTACTTGCGGTATATGAAACTGAAGCTATGATGCGAAGTAAGGAAACTACTTCCTTCCTCAGAGGGTGAACTTACCGTGACTGCCGCAGAGTTGAATTTGGGCGTTGAGCCTGACTTC